CTTTGCACTGAAATGCATCCCTTTTTTATTTTTTAGTTATTTTTAAAGTTTTAATTTTTTGGCTGTAATCTCTGCAGTCAGGGGGCTGAGGCAGGAGGATCACCATGAGTTCTGGGCCAGCCTGGGCTACCAATTGAGTTCAAGGCTAGCCTGCATTACAAGTAGCAAGACTCTGTCTCAAAACAGTAAAAAAGTTTTCATTTTTTTATTATAAAACACCTTCATTGTAGGAAACTTGAAAAGTAAAGATAAAGTAAAAGCTGAAATTTTTTTGTAAACTCATGAACTGCTGCTGGTTTGTATCCTTTTTTGTTGTTTTTTTTTTCTGGTATCAGGAATCGAACTCACGACCTTGCGCTTGCCAGGCAGGCGCTGTACCGCTGAGGTAAATCCCCATCTCTTGTTTGTATCCTTTTTAAGGTCATACGTGTGTTTTTTCAGTTTTGTGGGAAAAAGGGAGTGCTGGGGGTTGAACCCAGGGCCTTGCACAAATTGAACAAGTGCACTAATCCCAACCCCTGAGTCTTAACAATAAAAATCAGATAAGTGAAATCATGTTTTATTTATTTATTTATTTATTTTGGTTTTTCTCCGGTACCGGGAACCGAACTCACGACCTTGCGCTTGCCAGGCAGGCGCTTTTGCCGCTGAGCTAAATCCCCAGCCCCATGTTTTATTTATTTTTGTTATTTTTATTTTTTTTTAGTTTTCATGTTGTTTTAATGAGTAAGTAGATTTAAGGCTCAGATACTATGAACTTGATCTAACATGATTTTTATTAAATTTTCTCTTTTCCTAAACAGGTAGAAAATATTTATCCTCAAACTGGATGGGTTGAAATTGATCCTGATGTTCTCTGGGCTCAGTTTGTTGCTGTGATAAAAGATGCTGTGAAAGGTAATAGGACTTATAAGAATATCGGACATTTCTACAGTACACTGTGTTTGTAGTGAGAGTTTCGCTGCAGGGCACCATGGCACACACCTGTAAGCCCAGCCCCTCAGGAGGCTGCAGCAGGAAGATCGCAAGTTCAAGGCCAGTGTGACGACTTGTTGAGACCCTCTCACAAACTTAAAAAATTAAAAAGCCCTGGGGATGTAGCTTGGTGATAGGGCGCTTGCCTAGCACACCTGAGGTCCCAGGTTTAATCACCAGTACAGCGGGCCAGGGATATAGCTCAGTGGCACAAGTGCCTGCCTGGCAAGCGCAAGGTCCTGAGTTCAATTCCCGGTACCAAAAACAAACAAAAGAATATTATAAAATGTACTTGTATTTTTGTCTTTTAGGAAATTTGGATTTATTTTTATTTTTATTTTTTCTTTGGTTTTTCTCCGGTACCGGGAACTGCACTCATGACCTTGCGCTTGCCAGGCAGGCGCTTTGCCGCTGAGCTAAATCCCCAGCCCCAGGAAATTTGGATTTAAAAAGTCATGTTTTTAGGTACATCCTTGAATTTTGTCTGTGTTGAAAAATGTGACCACTCGGGAGGCTGAGGCAGGAGGATCATTGCAAGTTCGAGGCCAGCCTAGGCTACAAAGTGAGCTCAAGGCCAGCCTGAACTGCATAGCGAGACCCTGTCTCAAAAAGACAAAAATAAATAAATAAATAAAAATGTGACCTCATTTCAATAGTTACACTACTTTTTCTACTTTCCTTGGTTTCTCACCATTAACCAGTTTCTATTATGATTGATCATTGCCTAAATTATGATTCATTATCAGACAGAAAATGCCATCTGATTTAGTACAGTGTTTTTTTTCTAACATTTAAAGAAAAAAAGCTGTATTGTCCTTACAAGGATTTTTTTGTTCTTTTAAATAAAAAATACTAGCTGGGCATGGTGACGCTTGCCTGTAATCCCAGCATGCAGGAGGCTGAGGCAGGAGGATTGTTGTAAGTTTGAGACCAGCCTGGTCTGCAAAGTGAGGTCAAGCCCAGCCTGAACTGCATAGCAAGATCCAAAAAGACAAATGCAAACAAACAAAAGAAACTAGTCATCTTAGCAATATTTTATGTATTAGCTTCACTTGTTTTATTAAAGTGGTATATTTAGGTTTTTTTTTTTTTGTTTTTTAGTTTTTTGAGACAGGGTCTCACTATATATCCCCAGCTGGCCTTGAATTTGATCCTCCTCCCTCAACCTCCTAAATCCTGCGATTGCAGGCACACACCACCACGCCGAGCTATACCTAGGTTTTTGTTTTTTTGTTTGTTTTATTGCCCCCCCCCCCCACCGGGAATCAAACTCACGACCTTGTGCTTGCCAGGCAGGTGCTGTGCTGCTGAGCTAAATCCCCAGCCTGTACCTAGGTTTTTGAAGATTCTGTTGAAGCAGTTGCTTCCCGTGCTGTGACACTGTGAGATAATTGTGTGTGTTCTCGGTCTTCACTTTCAGCTGCAGGAATCCCGCTGAGTCAGGTTCTTGGCCTTGGCATCTCCACACAGAGAGCAACTTTCATCACATGGGACAGGTGAGTTAGTGCGCGTGCGCTGAGCACTGTCCCCGCTCCTGCCTGGGGTCGGGGGAAATGGCTGTACAGCTCTGGGCAGCTTTGCGTTTGTGAAATGAGAGTAGTTTCCCATGCTGAGGGGTATGAAGACAGGCTTGCTTTCTGGCCTGTCTGTTCCCTGCATGTCACTTGAGCTCCACTGGCAGACAGTAACAATAAGGGGATTGCTGTTGCCGTAAAAATTCTCCTTTCTATTGGGTAAGTTGGCTTTTCAAACAAGCATGCATTGAAGAGCTAAAAAACTACCTTATTCCGGAACAGTCAGGGACCCACCACGTTGCAGAAACACAGCGCTGTGCTTACGATTTATGTTCCCACACTTCTTCACATTGAAAATGTCGGCGCCTGTAGCACCTGAGGCCCACATGGACGAGACACAATTACGGTCTTGTAGTAGTTACTGTAGGAGCGCCTGTGATGCTGAAGTTTCATCACCCTTGCAACAAACCAGTTATCTAGGCATTATGTCTGTTTTTACAGAAGAAGAAATCAAAGTGCAGAGAACGAGTCGTATAGGCGACTCAGTAAGTGGAGCCAACGTTCCAAGTTATCTTTTTTCCCCTCTTGCCAGGGAGTGAGTCCAGCATTGTACCTGCTAGACAATTCCCTGCCGCTGAGCTACAGCCCGACCTCTTGGAGGAGTTGGTGTTTGTAGTTTATGTTTTTCCTTTTTTCAATGCTGGGTGTAAACCCAGGCCTTCAGACACGCGAGCCCGGCGCTCTGCCATTGAACTACGTATATACCCGGCCGTGAATTGTCTTTTGACTGCAAAGCATGTGTTATTTCTGCTACCTCCATATTACCTTCAATTTGTGTTTATTTTTTTAAAAATGTAGAATTTGTCTGTGTTACCAAGGATTAGACTCTAAAGGACATACTGAGCTTGGACAGTTGGGGAGAAAAGTGGAAGGAGGGAATCGGGTTGAGTCTGAAGAATATATTCAGGGTAAATTCAAAAGGACCTGACTTTTGGTTCAATATTAGGCAAGAAGAAGAAATTTAAATTTAAATTTATTTTATTTTATTTATTTATTTTTTTGAGACAGGGTCTTGCTGTGCAGTTCAGGCTGGTCTTGAGCT